CCTCATAATGCAGAGCATACCCTGGGGGCTCCCAGAAGGATTGGGACTGGGGTGGCGAAAACGTACAGTTGATGCTCTTGCTTTGGTTTACTCCATCCTGGCTCTCATTCCCGTACCTCCCCCGCCCCCACTCCTGTCTTAGTCATTAGCTCCTCTCTTTCCTCCCAGTTTTTTAGCTGTGTTCCCCAAGGATCAGCCTTTATATGTCTTTTCTCCTCATTCTACATATTTCCTTGGGTTACTATTATCCGTGCTCATGACTCTAAATATATCTTCATCATTCCCAAATCAAAGTTCAGCCCAGATTCCTCTTCTAGGCTTCCTATCCACATATATCCAGCTACCTGCCAGACACGTGTCCCCGGGTGTCCCACAGGTATATCAAACAAAAGGACCAGAAGAAACTACTTTCTCAACCAGCTCCTGCAACTTGCTGGCACTTCTCCTCCCATATCCCCTACCGCGTTACAAAATCCAAATGCAGAGAAATAATCTTATTCCATCGCCATGCTTTCATAAACAATGAGTGCTAAGTGTCTTTGATTCTACTTCCTGGATCTTTCCAAATTCTACCCCCATCTTTACCCCCAACTCCCTTGCCTCATTTCTTAGAAAAGTCTTCTAAATGGTTTTCCCACCTCAAATTTAATTCTTTTCCAACATTCTGATATGCATTTTTCCAAATAATTCCTCTCACTGGTTAATCTAGCCACATTCCTTGGGCTAACTGATATGAACTGGTACCTCTGAACTGACTGACTGTTCACAGATGGCGTATGTTCTGATGGGTCAGTGGTCAAGAGATATGGTTGTCAAACCTCCTGAACATCACCTTGATTATTACCCTCCTTCTTAAACCCTTTAACTTCCCAACAACTCAAAATAGTCTCTTTAGTGTAGCACACCATGGCTTCTTATTCTCAGGTCAGTGCCCAAGCCAGAGTTAATACCACGTTGCATAAGCTTCTCCAGGACCTCATAGCAAAGCTTCTTCACCTGGGGTCCACAGGTCCACACACGTTCATGGGTGGATGCAGTAGCAGTTGGAGGGAGAGGGTTATGTGAACTTGGATAGGAAAAAGAATGCATCCTTTTTTGCTAACCTCTAACCATGATTTCAGAAGGATTAGAAATATCTATTGTTTGTCATCTATAAAATTACTGAAATCTTCACATTACAGTACACTGGTTGTAGGTAAACTAAAAGTTTTTATGCACATCACTACAAATTTACAATAGTAATTCTGACTGATAGTATATCTCATTTATTTTGTTAGTAAAGATGCACATAATATACATCACAAATATGCTTTTAATGTATTTGGATAGTGATACTTCAATATAACTTTTTGTGGTAAAAAATATACTTCATGCACTTAAAAAAATATTATTCTGAGGAGTCCATCTATGACACAGTCAGAGAGATCCATGGCACAAAAAAGGCTTAGAATCTATACTCTCAGAGCTTTCCTGTCCATCCGTCTAGTGTACATTAACTGATTGTTCAAATATGACGCACTGTGCTAGGCCACACGGACACCGAGATGAGAAAAACCTTCAAAGAGGGTGGGGGTGGGAACTGATTATTTAAATGCCATGTGAGAAATGCGATATCATAACTCTGCACATGGAGCCAGGGGTGCTGAGGGGAGGGACTTCTAACCAAAACCCGGGGCTGGGGAAGGCCTCTTAAAGAGGACAATGGGGACAAGTCCTAAAGGACAGGCAGAATGTAGTCAGGTGAGGGAAGAACACAACCTGTGATGCCGCAGGCCCTGCTCTACTCTTTGGGAGACAACTGAGTCTGCTATCTTTGCTTCCGGAAAAGGAAACAATCGTAGGTAGTGCTGAAGCACAGCTGACTCTGGGTGGAAAGTCTCCAGACCTAGGAAAGAGGGAAGACAGTCAGCTCTGGAGACTTCTCAGAGTTAAAAAGGCCCATTAGCATCAAGAAGATTAAAAAGATCTCCTCATATGGAAATGCAGTGGTAAAAAGTTTGAATTTAGATACAAAGCCTGCTGATTATGACAGTGCTCTAGAGGAGGAGAAAGAGTCCAAAGGCCATCCACATGAGGCAGTAAAGTGACTGTTTGTAGACAAATTTTACTGTGGCTTCCTGCCTGGATGGCACAAAGATAGATTTTCCAGAACGGTTTTAAAAGTTGAATAACAGATAGAAATTGAATCATTTTTGCAACAAAATGTGTGGCTCAAAATATCCTCAAAATGGGCAGTCCTGAACAGGAAAGACGTTTCTGAATGCTTATGTTTGGGCTGAGATAGGACAGAGTATCTGTGACTACAATGACCTAAAATAGGGATATGAGGACTTCCCTGGTGGTTCAGTACTTAAGAATCCATCTTGTAATGCAGGGGATGCAGGTTCGATCCTTGGTCAGGTAACTAAGATCCCACGTGCTGTGGAGCAGCTAAAGCCCATATGCCATAACTAACACAGTCTACATGTTGCAATGAAAGATCCTGCCAAGTGTTGCAACTAAGATCTGATGCAGCCAAATAAATAAATAAACATTAAAAAAAAATAAATAGGGATATGTCTAGTCTTGGGAATTGATTTTCAAGTCTGACTAATTATCAGGATTGTTTGGAAGGTGTGGGGAAATGCCCACTATTTTGCTAGAACCATGTGCCCTTTCGTTTCTTTACTTTCTCAAGCAGACTGGGACATATGTTGACTCAACTTGTTACCGATATTAAATTACAGCATGTTTCCTTTTTTTTTTTTCCATTACAGAAACAAAAAAATGGCAATAAACTTCCTGTCTTTTTATACCTCATTTCACTTAGCAATTGGAACTGTATTATTCTGGGGGAGAATTCAAATGTGGCTGGTAGAGAGGGTAGTCAATTAACTGCAGGTAGTTTTGCATCATTAAACTAAACATGCCTTGCTTTCCCAAGTTTCATGAATACATTCAATGCTATCTTAAAAACAAAATAAAACCATTCCTTCTAGCTGGAAAGGTTTAGCCCTGTGACTGTGTGTCAACATTAACCTTGAAATGCCTGCCATCTACCATTATACCTCCATATTTCTCCCACAAAAGTTTCTGCAAAGTACAGTCCTGACACCGTTACCATGAGCGGCCCTCTATCTGGGAATGATTACACTTGCATATGGATTTAACTTAGGACGGGAATAAGTTAGCACCTTCCTTTGACCTCTTTCTGAGCACAACATACAAACAGAATCCAGGAATGATGAGTACTTCGCAGCAGCTGGCTTCCACAGGTGGTAAGACAGAATATGACACATGACGGGTCGAGTCATTCAGCAAGTGTCAATTTCGGAAATGAGCATCTGCCAGTCTTCTTCTTAACTGGGAATTGAGTTGTTTTCATGAACTTCTAGCCTTGTGAACTTAAATGAGGCTTTGAAACAAATTCACTTATAATTTAAATAAAAAATAAAATACTGTTTTTCTTGCATTTTCACAGACATCAGGGACTGGAAACAGTTGCAAGCCCTGGAAAGAGGGTCCCTATGAGGCCCCAACCTTCCCCATTCAGCTAGTGAGGGTATCCTCTGTCTTCAAAATTTCACTCTTCAGCCAACTGCTATTTTAGAAATATGATGACCACTGTGGTCATAAGACAAACAGACTGGCACTTTCAAAAGTCCTCTCTGGGTGAAGCTACGATAGATCAATATTCTAAAAATATTTTTTTAAGAACATATACATTTCTTGCTCTAAGATAACTTTATTGGGAGGTTATAGAAATATGAATTAACTGTAGGCAAGTTTAAGTCAAATGTCTCAAAGTTTATGGAGAGATTCTAAACATAGCAGGGTATCTAAGATTTTACTTGCAGATTGTAGGTTCCTGGGCCCTGTTAGAGCTGGTCACTCAGTGAGGCTCATTTCATTGCATCCAGCAGATGTCACAGTTCAGCACTGACTACAAAGTTCTATATTAGCACAGTCCAACAGAAATACAAAGGCACGCAGGTAATTACCAAAAAAAACTGGTTAACTATATTTCACAAAAAATGTTTAGTGTATTTTCTAATAACAACATTTTTTAAAGTGTCATATAAAGGAACGGATGAAATTACTTTAAATAGTATATTGGATTAGCCAAAATGTTCATTCGGCTTTTTCTGTGACATCACACAGAAAAATCTGAACAAAATTTTTGGCCAATCCAATATATTATTTAACCCAGTGTATCTAAAATATTACCATTTTCAACATGTAATTAATATATAAACATTAATGAAATATTTTACTTTTTTTTTTGGTACTAAGTTTCTGAAATCCAGTGTGTTATTTTATACTTGTGGCACAGCTCAACTCAGAGGAGCCATGAATAAACCCCATGTGGCTAGTGGCTATCATGTTAGATGGCACAACTCTATCCTATTCAGAATGGACAGACAAGCAAACAATGACAGGGGAGTACCAGGTCCATCTAAATTCTAGGATGCTTCGACACATCCTAAACCATGGCCCCTCACAGTTTCAGAAACTGGTACTTCCAAATACGCTTGTATTAAGGTTTTATCACTTACAGCAGCAACTTAAAAGGGCTAACTATTTCAATCGTTCCCTTTCCACACCTGCTTGTATAGAAAACTGGTCTTGATGTCAGAACTGGGCATTCCTACACTAGTGCATTGGAGAAGAAGAAAGACTGGCTCACTGAGTCATCAGATCACAGGAATGTCAGTTCTTTTCCAATGTTTCACTTATATTTTAAAATAAATTTTTTTCCCCATAAATATTATTGTGAGTCTTTTCAGTACAAAGCTCTAGAGAGAAGTATTAATTCTAAAAATAAACCCAACAAAAACAGGTGGTAAAACATATTTAAGCAACTATGCAGTCAGCTTTACTTACTTTCTATGCAACTTTCAAGGACTACATTAATGTTAACTAGAACATGATCTGAAATTTACAAACCCTTGAGGTCTTACAAATTCTAACCAACTCTAGCCTTTCATCCTCAGTAAGTATGACAGCACTAAAGTGATTACCTTAGGTAAATGTTCTTTGATGGTTTCGTTGTCTCTCTTCACTACCTCCCTCATTTCTTGGCTCCCAAGGTAGGCAGCGTTAACTACATTAAAAAAAAAAAAAAGACAAACATTTAGAATATATAGAACAAACACAAATGTCAAATTAATTGTAGTCAATTCCTGTGTCACCCTTTTCTTTTGGCAAGTGCTACGTGATGTGAAATGTCAGGGATGCCAAGAGAGGCGTGTGAGTCAGTGACATGCACTGACTCTGGAAACAAGGGCATGCCCTGTGGAAGGCTCTCTCTTACCTTCACCTGGCTTTCTCAGCAGCAACGTTTAGCTGTATGATGGCCTAATGTCAGATATCACAGCAGATGTGTGTCACTGTACCCGATCAAGGTATTTTTATGATTTAAGGATTAGAATCACACATTTTAACAGATAAATCATGCATATCAGGGAAACCACACACAGTTACAAACATTAAAACATCTTGGTAACTTTTTTTTAGAATGGCCACAACTATAAAGAATGTTTGTTTTAAAATAGGTTTAAATGATCTTTAAGAGTCAGTTGTTAATGACGGTCAGTCCTATTATACCTATTATATGCAAAATAGGTACAGTGACCCCCATTTTCAAGATGACAAATATCTGGAAAGAAGGAAGAAAGCCAGTGATAATCCAAATTTGTGGGCTTCCCTGGAAGCTCAGTGGTAAAGACTTTCTGGTACTGCTCTACAAATTTTCATTTGATTCTCTGTGCCTTGAATTCCACTTTGGTTGGTGTTATTACTGCTAGTTTGCTTTCTTTTTGGCATCATCCTCCTATTTGTCTTTTATCTTTAATCTTTTGTCATTTTAAGTATGTCTCTTGAAATCATAAGTGGATCTTTTTAAAAACACAGTTTAAAGTCTCTCTCTCTTAAATAAAGGACTTAACATACTTGTGTATATTGATATAAAAGATAGTTGGTCTGACTCCAGTCAGGAGGCAGAATAAAGTAATAATAAGGTTCACAGCAGAAATTTATCAAATTGATACCAGAAAAACAAATGAGAAACTAAATGAAACTAAAAACAGGTTCAATAAAACTGATAAATCTCTATAGCCAGACTGTTCAGGAAAAAAATGTGAGAATACATAAAACATTACCAATATCAGGAATGAGAAATGACAACCCTTCAGATACTACAGACATCAAAAGGATCAGTTCAGTTCAGCTGCTCAGTCATGTCCAACTCTTTGCGACCCCATGGACCACAGCACGCCAGGCCTCCCTGTCCATCACCAACTCCCCGAGTTTACTCAAACTCACGTCCATTGAGTCGGTGATGCCATCTAACCATCTCATCCTCTGTCATCCCCTTCTCCTCCTGCCCTCAATCCTTCCCAGCATCAGGGTCTTTTCAATGGGTCAGCTCTTTTCAGCAGGTGGCTGAAGTATTGGAGTTGCAGCTTCAACATCAGTCCTTCCAATGAACACTCAGGACTGATCTCCTTTAGGATGGACTGGTTGGATCTCCTTGCAGTCCAAGGGACTCTCAAGAGTCTTCTCCAACACCACAGTTCAAAGCATCAATTCTGCACTCAGCTATCTTTATAGTCCAACTCTCACATCCATACATGACTATTGGAAAAACCATAGTCTTGACTAGACGGACCTTTGTTGGCAAAGTAATAATAATCATAGACGGACCTTTGTTGGCAAAGTAATAATAATCAGGTAATTTTGTGGACTTTGCCATGCAATTTAAAAACTCAGATGAAACAGTCTGTACACAGACACAAATTTGAAGTTCACTTGACAACAGATAGGGGCTTCCCTGATGGCTCAGCAGTTAAGAATCTGCCTGCAATGCAAGAGACGTGGGCTTGATCCCTGGGTTGGCAAGATCCCTTGGAGGAGGAAATGGCAACCCACTCCAGTATTCTTGCCTGGAAAAAAATCCCATGGACAGAGGAGTCTGGCTGGCTACAGTCCATGGGGTTGCAAAGAGTCAGACACTACTGAGTGACTAAGCATGCATGACAATAGGTAACTTCAATAGTTCTTAAATTTGTAACTTAAAAGCCTCTCCACAAAGAAAACTCCAGGGCAAGATAAGTTCACTGGTCCATTCTACGAAACATTCAAAGAAGAAATAATATTGATTTTAAATAAATTCTTCCAGATATGACTACACATATATGGTTATTTAATTCTCGACAAAGGTGACATTTCAGAACAGCAGGAAACAGGTGGTCTCTGGTAGGCAGAAATCTTAGACAACGCAAATGATCCTTGCCTTTTTATAATCAATCCCCTCTGAGTGTGGGTGAAACCTGTGAGTAAGATGACATATTGCTCCCACGACTAGGTTATGTTATAAAGTGGAGACTTTAAGGGAGAGTATCTCAGTGGGCCTGATCTAATCACATGAGTCCTTCAAAATCTGAGTTCTCTCTGGCTAGTGGCAGAAGAGAAAGTCACAGATTCAAAGTCCTAAGAGGATGAAATGCACTGCTGTTGGTTTGAAGACGGAGCACATGTGAGGATATGAAACTAACCTCGAGGAGCTGAGAGGACACTTGCTGACAACCAGCAAGAATATGGGGACTACAATCAAAAAGCCAAGTGAACTAGATCCTGCTGACAACCTGAATGAGCTCAGGAGTGGACTTGGGATATGCAGGGGGCATAAAAGAGGCTTGTGACATCCAGGCAATGGTGATTCTTGAGGTAGGTAGAAGTTACATAGGAGTTTGTTTTCTGATCATTTGTGGAGGTAAACATTTTTATGTTTCAGGCACTTTTCTGCAGTGTTATTCTTGAATTAGTAAAATGTATAAAAATTCAAAAAATGTGTAAGGAATATTATATTTCTAAAAAGCAAAATTTTCATCAGGGGATGTACTTCACCTTTATTCTCATTTTTTTTTTGTTTTTCCTGGTAATTTCCCATCTAAGTACACTTTTTTGTTGTTTGCTTTTAGAAAGCAGAATACAAGTTTCCTTTCCAGTAACTGCTCCAAGGAAGCCATCCTTTTCTTCCCTCAGAAATGCTCGTAACACAACACAGTGGTCAGAAACAATAATACCAGATAGAAGTGTAATTTCCTAAGGGGAAAACACATTTCTCCTGGCAATGACTGTCGACAGCATTCCTGGAAACCCAGCAGAAATCAGAGTTTCAAGCACCACAGTGAAGGAAATATCTAGTAGTAGGAGTAATGGAAACAAAACATGAAGGGAGGAGAATGATTTAGAAGAATGGTACTTATTTACTTTCATTTCATAACAAATCTAAATACAGGTGTAAAAACCCTCACTGAGTCTAATGTTCTATTTTATTTGCTACCATCATCTTCTGAAATCTGCTTAGTGTTTAAATATCACTACAGGACTTCAACTCACAGTGGAGTGGCGAAGGAACGAAACAAAGGCAGGCTAAAACCGGAAGACCAATAGGACATTCATGTCACAGGCTAAATGCTATCACTAAATTCTCCAAGTAAACATAATCTGCAGCAGAAGGCTGCCTTCTGTTTAATTAACCTAATCACCTACCTTAATGCCATTTTGTCCATCTTGAAAATTCCCAAGTCATCTTCAAGTCCAAATTCATTTGTCTTCTCCCTTATTTACCTAGGTAGAACTAGTTTCTCCCTTTCTCGGTACCATTTCTGCCCTGTATCTGTGTTCATACCAGTCCTAACTGTGATGTATTAAAATTCCTCACATTGATTTCCTCTAACATGCTATATAAATATAAATGTAAATATAAATATAATGTTAGGGTAATTATATATATATATACACATATATATATATAAATCTATCTCAACAGTTATATTTCATTTTTTCTCTCCAGTGATTATCCAGGTCCTTGGTTCATGGCAAGTGTCAGTAAGGATTGTTAAATAAATAAATGGGTAGGGATTGGGCTGGTGGTTTTCTTTTTAGGGGAAGGTTTGGGGGTAGAGTCAGGAGGAAAAACCTGCTGACTTCCTTGAGGTAGAGCAAGAGCTGATGTCACAAGAGAGTCTAGATGCTGACATGGGGAAGCCAAGTTGGCAGGTATTGGTTGATCTGATTTATAAACAGATAGTCTTATCAATGTGACAGAGTTCATCAAAGTAAACACACAACTGAAGGCGTATGATTTTTAAAAAATAATACAACTTTTTAGAGGGGTAGATAATTTAAATATATATATGTGTGTGTATATATATTTATATATATACACACACATACACATAAACATCTATTGAAAAAAATATTAAAAACCTTCACTGAGTCATTTAACTCTAAACTAGATGTGATATTCTAGTACCATATCTAATCACCTTTTGCCTAAATCCTAATACTGACCACATACACACACAGTTTTTTTCCTTCACTGCTGAATTTAAGGCTAAACTTCCATGAATAATTAAAGCTTAAGTTGGCTTTTAATGGATTTTCCTAAGTTACACACAAAAATGAGAGACTAGGTAATATGCGAGTCTGGTTTTGTCTTATTCAAAATATTATTCTGTAATTAAGCCAAAAATATTCTGAGAAGAAATTTGTGATCCTTGAGTGAAGCTTATGTGTCAGCAGTTCATTGAATAGTTTTCAATTCATGTAACTGTACATGCTTTTAAAAGTTATTTACATATTGATTAAGGAAAGGAAAGATTACAAAGTCTCTTTTACAAGAATGCATGCAACAAAAGTAATGTAATCTACCAGGAATGCCCTTTGTCTGCACTATGTTTTTCTAATTAGATAAGTGAAAGGAATTAAGACATCAATTTGGTCTAACTAACAATAAGACTCTAGAATATTTTTTAACGTTAATTATCTTGACCTGTGATACTGCTAAGCTAAAATATATTTGCTTTTAGCTTTGATCAGAAAATCCAATTTAGCTGTCTCAGTGAGAAGTCTATTTCTCATGAAACAGAAGAACATCTATTATAAAGAAAATACATAGTAGCAACTATTACAGAATTAAAATTAAAGGAAAAAAAACCCATACATTTTCTTTAAAAGTAATATGCAAAACAATCGAGTTACATAAATTGAACCAATGAACACATGGTGAAGTTTATAAAGTACACTAACTGAATTAGGGCCACTCTATCTTGAATGCTGGATAGGAAAGGAGGTTTTACTCAATCTGGTAAAGAGGGCTAATACACAGACTCTCAGCCTATAAGAACCACCATTTTTGCCAAAAGGATAACAGCATTTGAAATATTTGAACAGTTTGGTTCCTTGAACTTTTTAGACCTTGCTACCACAAAAAAAATATGTGTATAAACTAAAGGATACAGAAAATCTGTTTCTATCCAGATAGGTCAGGATTTATTATCCACCACTTGGACTGGCAAACTTCCTCCGTTTGTTTCTGTAAGATTTCTACTGAAGCACAGACATTACATAATGTGCAAACACCGCAAGTCCTCCTTTTAGGAGGTAAACTGGTCAGACTGGTATACTGGAGGTCATTGTCTGGATGATAGTCAAACTACAGAGAAGTAGGTCTGGAGGGTATAGATTTGACCACTGTGAATAATCTCAGATCTGGTATTCCTTTCCCCCGATGAGCCCTCTCTTTGTGTAAAATGAAAATCATGTCATCAACTCAAGTGGTTGGTTGAAATATTGATTAATCTTCACCATTCATGGGATAAAAGCTCAGGAGGAATACACTGATCATTTTCAAGGGTCAGGGATTTATGGGTATCATCCTCTCTCAGCTGGGACCTTCTTCCATTTGTCCTAAGCAAGGTAACAGGAATTACTAGTGGGATGGCCAGGGCAAGACTGGGTAAAGGTAGGTTCTGTGGTAGCTATTGCGAGAAGAGGCAAGGGTGAATTGGTATCCAAAGGGGAGAGGTAAAAAGATGCTGGCTAGGATGATGGAGATGCTTGGTTAAGGATTAGCCTACTGTCATGAGTAGAAGATTGAACTAAGCATCTTTGTAGAGAATAAACCAAGAACACAAAGCAGAAAGAACACAGGTAATTCTTGCCTTCTTTCTCTTTACCCAAAATTATTATAGATGGGGTGAGTAATGAGGGGAAAAAAAGAGACTACTAAAGTACTGGTTACTTGGATGTTAGAAAGCCAGGTCTATCAATAGAAGGAAGAGGACAGAAAATCAGAGAAGGAAGGGATGTCAGAAATACAAGGGCTGTGCTCCAAAAGTTTGTTTGCAAGTTGGTTGTTTGGAACAGAGATGAAGCAATGTGGCTGAGTGTTTAGTCTGGTTTACTGTCTATTTTGCACATCGTGTAACTGTACTATGGGAAAGAAATTCCACAATTCCCCCAAGCAACAGTGCAGATGGAAGCCTCTGGTTGCCTTGAGTCACGGAGGGGAACGTGTCCTATGCCCAAACTGTCTTGCTCCTTGATGCCTGCATTCAGGGCTCCCGAAGACTCAGGAGGAGTCAATCACTGTAGCTGAAAGGAAGATTCCTTTCTCTTGAGCACAACTTATGGAGCCTACTTCTTCAAGAGGGTATTTATAATTGTGGTGTAGAAAAACTGAAAAAAAATCTTTACATAGGTATCTGTTTTAATAGAAAAATATTAAACACAGCACATGTCTTATGTAATGTGTTATATAATCACTAAATATATATAAGAAAACAAGGAAAACTTCCCTAACATCCCATGTCTTGATTTGGGTTTAGAGAATACCGCTAAAGAGGCAGAAGGGAAGCACAGGGCTATCTAATGTCTATCAGAAACCCAGATGTTTGGGGTGAAGCGGTCTATGTGCGTGCGTGCTGAGTAGCTCAGTTGTGTCAGTCATGACCTCACGGACTGTGGCCTGCCAGACTCCCCTGCCCCTGGGATTTTCCAGGCAAGAATACTGGAGTGAGTTGCCATTTTCTATAAATTAAATACTGTTGGTTGATACTGTTGCTGAATTCATCTATATCCTTGCTAACTTTCTGTCCTATCATTCTACTGATTGTTGAGAGGGGTATTTACGTATCCAGCTATAATTGTGGATCTGTCCATTACTCCTTTCAGTTGTATCAGTTTTTGCTTCAGGTATCTTGCAGCACACTTGTTTTGTACATACACATATTAGAATTACTATGACTCCTTAGTAGACTAACTCTTTTACTATTATCATTATGTAATGTCCCTCTCCATTCCTGGTAATTTTCTTTGCTCTGAAGACCACTTTATCTGATATTAATATAATCATTCCTGGTTCATTTGATTAATGTTTGCATGATGTATCTTTTCCCATTCTTTACTTTCAACCTACCTATATGATTATGCTTTAACTATATTTTCTGAAGATAGCATATACTCAGGTTATGTTTTTAAATTCATGTTGCCAATTTTTATCTTTTAATTGGTGCATTTTGACCATTTAGTTTAATGTAACTATTGGTAATGTTAGAGCTTGTTTGCCATTTTATTATTTATTTTCTGATAGCTATCTGTTTTCTCTTTCTCTATGTTCTTTCTCTGGCCTGTCTATGTGTTACTGAATGTTTTAGAATTCTATGTTGATTTACTTATAGTGTTTTTGTTTTTTTTTTTAAATGTCTCCTTATGTAGATTTTAAAGTGGTAATTCTAGGTATTCCGCTGAGGGTGTCTGACTTACCGTCATTGCCATTTTCACTTACTAGGCTATTTCTTTCTCTTCTATGAGGGAAAAATAAGGGGCTGGGCCAGCAGGTCCTCAAGGGACATCTCCAACTTCAATCTTCGGTGATTTTTATGACTGTTCCAAGCCTGGCTTCCCTTCTCCCTATCTTATCTTCCTCTGCCTTGCTAAGCCTATAATAACAAAAGGTGTTGGTAGAACATGGCTGGGGGGGCAAATCCATAAATACAGAAAATAGACTGAACTTTGTATTTGTGATGACTGCTTCTTGTTATTTAGGAAAACACGTCCTGCATAATCTGTGGGTGTATAACTATAAAGGCAGGGGTGTGACTTGTTTCTGAATTGACCATGCACATGAAATTGTGGGAATCAATGTAGGTGAGCACCATAAACTTTAGACAGTAGTCCTGCTTTTATGCTTGACTGGAGCAAAGAGACTGCAGCAGCAGCTACAGTAAAAGGAAGCTTAACACAGTGTCATATTGCTGGAATTTGAACACTACCCACTAGTTGTGTGACTTCAGGCAAACCATGTAACTTCTCTGAACCTCAGTATCTTCATCTGTAAAATGGGGACAGGAATACCTGAACTTCATTAGTTCTTCTGAGGACTGTAGGTAAAAGCTTAGAACAGTCTTATTAGCTGCTGCTGCAATTGCTGCTGTATCATTCATTGGAGGCTAATTATCAATAAAATATCAGATAGGCACTTTGCATACATTATCACATTTAATCCTGTAATCTTTTGAGGTACAGGATATTATTATCTCCATTTTATAGCCTATGGAGGTAGCATAATTTTATTATTAAAATCATTTGTAAATATAGTATAAATTAGTGCTAACTAAAAAGATAAATTACATTTAAAAATAACATTTGAAGCTAAACAGTAAAGTACCAAAAACATTCCCTGGCATATTCAGAAACTATAATCAGTAAAGCCTCCAATGTTATATTATCATGACTACTATTTATTACTTTTATAACTCAAATCTCTCCAAAAACTTCTAAAGAGCAAAGCAAAATCATAGTCTATTCACTCTATGGGGATATTAGGCCTCGTTTCCTTGTGCTGATTTTTGTAATTTATACACTGAGCTTAACAGGGAACACCATGGATTCCTGTAAGGACTCCATATATAGTAGAGAGAGAAGAATTCTTTCTCGTTGTCTTGAAGCTACAGTAGAGAATCAGAAGGATAAGGTTTAAAATTAAAGCCCGATGAGGCTTCTCTGTCATTTAGAATATCCCTCACTATTTTCATTTTGTTTCTAGTTTTAAACTTTGGGGAGAAAAATATAACAAATAATACCTTGTTTGAGACTCACCTACTGTCTGAGGTTATTCTCTTAACACTTTCTGATATAAGAATAAACATATACATTTTAAAATGTGCTTACCAAGGCAGAACGGTTCCAACGTATTCAGACAAGAAAATTCCCTTGGTATGTCCATCATTTGAAGGGCCATTCTGATCACCAAGGACTTGATTTTCTCAGGCCATGGTTTAAGCAGTAAGTAGCAAGGAACATAGAGAGCATAGCGAAGCCAGCACAAAAGAGGTGTGGCATACCTGCCTTTGGGTGACTCAGACATTCGCTCAATTGTTGGAAAGAGCAGAATGGAGCGAATTACCTATAATAAAAAAAAAATATTTTGATGAGAAGTTTTCCTAAGGGATAAGTTACTGCTTTCTCATTTCTTCTATATAATATCCACAAATGACTAGGTTTTAGAACATGGCTAACAATCTATTCAGACTGAGAAGTACCATCCACTGCCTTCTCAGCCCTCAACCAATCTGGGTAAGATATAAGGATGTCCCTCAAGTTGAAGGGTTAATTTTCAGGATGAGGAGGAAGTCAGATACCTAGATAAATTCTTGAGTATGACAGCAACTCCCACTCCCTTTGAAGGATTGCTGAAAGTAGAAATGAATTTACCATTTTAGTGGTTTACCAATTTGACTAATGATGCCCAAAGAGATTAAAACTACAAAAAATACTCTATTCTAGTCAGAATTTCTTTTATTCATATTTGGAGATAGTTCACTTTTGAAAAGCTCATCTATTCTGTAATCTTACCAGCCAAAGATAATCTTCAACAGGACTATATGTATACATGCTGCTGCTGCTTAGTCACTTCAGTCATGTCCGACTCCGCACAACCCCACGGACTGTAGTCTGTCAGGCTCGTGTGTGTGTGTGTGTGTGTGTGTGTGTGTGTGTGTGTGTATTTATATAGGCTGTGCTGAGTCTTCTTGTTGCGTGGTTTTCTCTAGTTGTGGCAAGTGGGGGCTACTCTCTAGTTGTGATGTGCAGGCTTCTCATTGTGGTGGCTTCTCTTGTTGCGGAGCACGGGCTCTAGGGCACAAGAGCTTCAGTAGCTGCGGTTCCCCAGGCTCTAGAGCACTGGCTCAATAGCCGTGGCACAAGAACTCAGATGCTCCACAGCATGTGGGACCTTCCCAGATCAGGGACTGAACCTGTGTCTCCTGCGTTGGCAGGTTGATTCTTTACCACTGAGTCACCAGGGAAGCTCAGGATAAAATATATTTTTAACAACTGATTCAACCTCAATAAAGCATGCATGCTCAGTTGCTCAGTCATGTTCAACTCTTTCTGACCCCATAGACTGTAGCCTGCCACACTCCTCTGTCCATGGAATTTTCCAGGCAAGAATACTAGAGCAGGTTGCCATTTCCTTCTCGAGGTGATCTTCCTGATCCAGGGATTGAACCTGTTTGTCTCCTGCACTGGCAGGCAGATTCTTTACCAGTGAGCCCCCTTTAAATCCATGGATAAGATTAGTGTCCTTAGAAGGACATACACCAGAGCTTGCACTCTTTCCAAAAGCATATGGAAAAGAGGTCTGGAGAACACACAGAGAGAAGATGGCCATCTGTAGGTCAGGAAGAAGTATCACCAGAAACTGACCATATTGGCATGCTGATATTGGGCTTCCAAACTAGAACTGAGAAAATAAATGTCAATTGTTTAGACCACCCAGTCTATGACATTTTGTTAGGCAGTTCGAGCAGACTAACACCTATCCCTTAATACCATAGTTAATTTCTGTCTGTTAGTGAACTTGAAACAAATGTAATCATGCAGTGTGTTTTTATTTGACTTCCTTCAATCAACATTGTTTATAAGATCCATCTTTGTTGATGCATATAGAAATAGCTCATTACCTTTGCTACCTAGTTTTCCATTGTAAGAACACAACACAACTGATTTTACAGATAGATATCTGGGTTGTTACTAAAAAATATGCTGATATTTTTACACATGTCTCTTGGGCATGTATTTCTTTGAGATGACTATGTCATCTCAAAGTAGAAATATGAGGACATATGGTTGCACATGTTAGTTGCAGGGTTAGTAGGGAGTTCGAAATAGTTTTCCAAAGTACTTGTACCAGTGCACTCCCCTACCATCAGACATGGGCTTCCCTGGTGGCTCAGATGATAAAGAATCTGCCTGCAATGCAGGAGACCTGGGATCGATTCCTGGGTTGGTAAGATCCCCTGGAGAGGGGAATGGCAAACCACTCCAGTGTTCTTGCCTGAAGAATCCCACGGATAGAGGAGCCTGTGAGGGTACAGTCCATAGGGTAGCAAAGAGTCACACACGACTGAGGGACTAAGTATACACACATACCATCAGACATTAGGGTTCATAGTGTTATATATCCGAATATTTGGTTCTGGTAAACCTTGTAATTATAATTGTAATTGACCAACCTGGTATTTGGAGGTGTTTCATTATGGCTCTGATTTAAGGCTTTTATGTCTTTTTATGTTTGGGGAACATTTTCTATATATCCTCTGAAAATGTCTTATTTAAATCTCACATTGTTCTATTAGAATGTATTTTTAAATTATTGATTTGTAGAAGGTATTTTTAATTTAGATACCAGTCCTTTGTCCTGTTGTAGTTCTTGACTTGCCCGTTCATTCCTTTTCTTATTTTTTTTTTAATGGAGGTAAACTCTTACGTTTGATACAATTGAATTTAACAGTCTTTTCTTTTACAGTTACGGTTCTCTGTCCTTGGTTTAAGAAATTCGTCTACAACCTCAAATCATGAAAATATTATTTTTTTCATTCAAAAAATATTTTAGAAATTAGATTTTTCAGAAATTAGATAATGCTGCTGCTTATCTGTTCTACAATGTGGATTTAAGCCTTGGGCTGGGTTTAACTTTAGTTGTGAGTCTATTCCTTTGATTTTGGGCATCAGTGATTTACCATTTTTTAAGTATTTACATTCCTCCTTCTGGATGAACTGGATGTATTTCTCCTGGTAGGACCTGATAGTAAAGGTGGGGTTTTGTGGACTCAGTCTCTTTTTCACCTTCTAACATCGACAGTCTTTTTTCATAATAATCTATTTGATGGCACTGACCAAACCTTACATTGATCAGGTAACACCTGTCACTCTGCCTTCATGTCCCTCTCACTGATAGAACAGGGATTTGAGGGTAAAAACTGTGGAGGACCCTTCTTTCTAATCATATCTTCTTGTTTTTCCTTGGTCATATCTAGCAGTTAAGGGCTTAGCTATTTCCACAGGCTTTTCCTTTTCTCTCAACAATATCTGAGATCTTTTTGTTGTTTCTTTTTCAGTCACAATAATCTGATCTCTTCTAGATGTCCTTCTCTGTCACCTAAGTAAGAATATACTGTTCCCTGAGGCCTGCGTGATGACTAAATAAAAGATGTTCTTTGGGAGCTGAGAACCACAGCCTTTTCAGATGATTTTTAAAATGCTGGATTGGTAACAACACGTTGCAAAATGCTCATGATGTGCTTTCTGAATGAACACTGAGTTTCTACGACCTTGGCATCTTCTCAAGTACAAATCAGAGGAGAAGCTGGATAGACTGTATTGAATCAAGGCCTTATGGAGCATTCATGGGTGCTTGTGATGCAGATCATTGTGGGTTCCAGAACATCAGGGATGATCCAGAGTCCTACAGTCAGAGCCAGCTGCCTGTTTCAGTGGGTTTACACAAAGGTTATATAGAGAGTCACACAAAGGTTATGGGGTCTCTGTGAAGTCTGATTGGATAAGAAAAGTCAGTTAAAGGAATCATTCTCCCTGGATGCCACTTCCAAAGTGAACTCCAACTCAATGCATTTGAACAGAGGAGGAATGAGATCAGCTTTGGAATCCCAGGGCTTTACAGGTGTTTGGTCACCTTCTTCGTCCCCTTCTAGCATCACATAGGGATACAGCATTACTGACCCACCCATGATGGCGACTGCATTGAGGACACAGGGTAAGCAGAGTACAGAGCACAAGCATCCCAATGATAGTTATCATCAGTCTCAGGAATTATCAGTAAGGAACCGAACAGCTTCTGACATCTCTAGGTCTCCTGAAGAGGTCTCCCTATTCTCATTGTCCACATATAGGAGGCAAGCTACTGCTTCACCTTCACCTTTCTGTCCAGAGATATTCTTCAGGACTGCTCCCAATGGTTCAAACAGGGCTGCTGTCTCGCTTAGACATGTGGAATATATCCTTCAGAGTGGCAAAAATTAAGAAATCTAACAATATACCAAGTACTACCGATGTGGAGCAACAAGAACACTTATTATGGCATAATTGCTAGCCTTTCCTCTTCAGTTTTTGAAAGCACAATTACTTTGGTAGGTGTCTGGAGCTCCACACAGAAAATAAATTTCGTCATGTTGTCTAATGATAACAGTTTGATTCAGGGCTCTAGCATTTCACTTGGATACCAAACAGCATGCTTTTTTAAGAGTCTGAGAGGGAGAAACAATAAAAAAATCTTTTAGCAACTGGAGAGGTGCTACCGTTAACCACTGACTTTATACCTTCAAATTCAGATTTCTTCCCCTGTCTTTTGGGTAATTTTAGTGTCATGAGTCCTTTAATTCCTATAAAAGCTACAAATGTTCTGCTGGTCTTAGGACTTGAGAGATTGCACACAGGGGTGGGTTTATATGGAGCAATCTTTGGTACTGAGAGAGGAAGGGCTTCATACTGCCCTGCAGGGTCCTCCCAGCTGAAGGGCTAAGAAGGACCTCCTTCCCCATTGCACAGAAGAGTTCTCCCTGGAGGCTGGAGAGCAGGTTTCTTTAGCAGCTGCAGTGGCAGCAAAGACAACTTCTGAGCTTCAGCTGGGCTCTCTTTTGTTAGTCCCACCTGGAGCTATAGGAACCTGATCTGGTAAGGAAGCCAGGTTGGCCACAGTACAGTCACTGCAGGCTCCTTGGCAGCCAATATTCTTCAGTAATATCTCCATGAGTTTGATGGCCTAGTCTTTCACTTTTTCAGTCCATAATCTACCCGAAACTGATTTTTACATGTGGTGTGAAATATGGGTCTAACAACTTTTTCCATATGGAAACTCAACTGTCCCAGCACTATTACCTGCAAAGGTAGTCCTCCCCTGCTTTTCTGCGGTGACACTGCTGTAGCAAATCCTGTATGTGAAAGGCCCTTTCCTGGGCTCTCTAAGCTGTTCTACTGACCTACTTTTCTAACTCTGTGCCCAGAGCACAATGTCTTATTTACTAAAGCTTTAGATTTTGGTATTTGGTAGAGTAAGTTAAACCCCATTTTCTTGTTCTTCAAAAATGCCTTGAGTATATTTGGCTC